AAAATTTTCATTAATTTTAACTAAAAACTAATTTTTAAAATTTTCGTTAGTTTTATAAATTTTTACATAAAAATAATTTTTTGCAAAAATATGTTTTTAATTTTTTTTTTTAATTCTTTCCTCAATACAAATTTTTCAAATATTGTTTTTTCCCAAATAAATAACTTTTTGTCCAAAAATAATTTTTCTTCTCACATAGTTTTTATTATTTTGATATCTTCTTATGGTGTTTTTGTTTCTACCAAAGAATGTTGCCTTTTGATTTCCCCGTTTCAATTTTCGTGTTCGATTCAAAAAAAAAAAGGCAAACGATTAGAAAATTTTGTGTTCGTTTCTTTAAATTTTACACTCTTGTAAAGCATAAAAGGCACATTATCTGCTCTTTAAAGCTTATTCAGGGCAGAAAGCTGCCCTAAAACCAGATGGTTGCTTAAAATGACAATATGTATTATGAAATGCGTGAGCCAAACAAAGACAAAAGGGCAAAAACATGCCCTGTTACGGGGTTGAGTGTAACATCAAACACATTTTGCACATTTTTTGGAAGAAACGAAATCACCATTAAAAAATGATTTTTTTCCTAAAAAATTTTCAAAACAGTAGTTTTTCCCCGAAAGATTGTTTTCTGAAAACTACTTATTTCCCTTGCTATTATCCTAAGAGGCTATTATTATTTTTTTAATCTTATTAGTAAAAATAATTTTTCCTCACATAAATTTAGCGGAAACATTTTTTTTTGTAATTTTTTTAATGCTTATTTTGAAAAGTTTTGATAAAAATATTTTTTCTAAAATTTCTAAAAATAGAAATTAACTAGTATTGAAAACTCACACGATATCCATATGAGCGGAATAACTTTTTTGGAAATATATTTCCCTTGGTAGGGTTAAATAACTTTTCTTAATTGAAGAAGCAGCTTTAGCGGAAATCTTCTAAAGGGCTTCTGACATCTCCTTCTGGAATCTCCAAATAAGAAGGCTACCACAAAAATTTTGTTAAAATCAACAAGTTCTCAAAGTTTGGAAGGGAAGTGGATCCCTTCAAAGGCACGCTTTGCACATTCCGGATGCTATGCTGAATATGTCAGCGGTGCTTTCACAAGGGATCGAAAAATACGTATATGCCAAATAAGGATGATGTTTCAGGGATAATAAATAAAGAATCATTGAAGAAAGATTTAAGAATTGTTAGCTTTTGTGGAAAAAATTTGAAAAACTGTACTCGACTACCATAAATATGGTCACTTTGTGTATTCATAGTATGTATGCATGTAATAACAAGTGCCTATTGTACGAGCGCTGCAAGCTTTTCACTTCCAACAGTTGTCAATTTGGTCAATTATGCTTGTGTTGGTTTTAATTTGCAATTCCTGCAATTATTGCCACAATTATGAATTACATTAAAAAAGCATACAGGTGTAGCAGTGGTAGTTGCAAATGTTTATACTCGTAGGCACATAAAAATGTTTTAATGAAAAATAACATACTTAACAATGGTAAGCGACCAAAATGGCATTTGCGCGCACAGCTGTACTTTTGCATCAATGCTTTTGAATGCCAGTTATACACTCGATGTTTGATTTCCGCAAATGCCTGCAACAAATGTTTAAAACAATCATTAAAGCTTAATAAAAACAATATTCGTATTCTTGAAATGAATATAGCAAAAATGGAAAATATTTTTTTGGAACATATGTACCTAACAACCTCTTTCTTTGACTTCGTAACCCTTAAAGAAAATTTATTTGCAAATTCAGCTGACATTTCGTCGCTTCAATCGGAGTGCTTTGAAAGATCAGCATAGTTAGCAATGATAAAGAATGGGCCGATAGTTAGCAAATGCTTAAAGAGCACAGGTGGGCACGAGCAAACGTGAGATAAAAACGAGCTCGTGTTCACGTACCATTGTGCTCTCGCTTTGTATACGAACATAAACCGCAGTTAGTCACCGACGTAAAATCGGAGAACGTGTCAGCTGACACGATCTACCTTATGAGATTTGCATCTTAACGGAAACTCACCACCGCATGACGGTGACGTTGTCGTTGCTTCTCTTTCTCTCTCTCTCTATCAACAGTATATTTGATATGTTGCCCGTCCGTGAACGTACGTTTAAGCCAGCGATGAGCAGAGAGAGCTTTTACTGTGCACGCGCCTATACAAAATGTATAGAAAACAGGCAAGGCAGTGCCCATCAGTAGTTTAAGCTATGCCGTTGACTGCTAGCACTTATAACGCTCTCCAAGCACATCAAACTCGCTGCCCATGTCTTTTAAAAAGCGTACGATCAGAGCTTTGCCCGCGGGCAAGACAGTGCCCATCAGTGGTTTATAACAGCGATGGGCAGAGAGAGCTTTTACTCTGCACGCTCCTATACAAAAAGTAAAGGAAGCTTAAAAGAGCTTTGCCTGCAGGAAAGGCTGTGCCCATCAGTAGTTTAAGCTATGTCGTTGACAGCTAGCGCTTATAACGCTCTCCAAGCACATCCATCTCGCTGTCCATGTCCTTTAAAAAGCGTACGATCAGAGAGGACTTTTGATGTATGCGGTATAAATCGTCATATTCCCTGGGAGAAGCTTTGTAAATCGTTCTGCAGATTTTTTAAGTGGTCGTATAGAATGAAAGCTCTCTCCAGCAGTCATTGGCTTGTAACAGCGATGAGCAGAGAGAGCTTTTACTCTGCACGCTCCTATAAAAAAAGTAAAGGAAGCTGAAAAGAGCTTTGCCCGCGGGCAAGACAGTGCACATCAGTGGTTTATATTATACAACAATATTATAAACTTTATAAAATCACTTGAATATTCGCTGGGAAAGGATATCAGAATACTTTAATAAAATTACAATTTCGAAAGAATTGTCTCTGTAGGATTTGCCTTGAAATGTACTAAATTATGGGCTTAAGAGAGACAATATGTCTGAAAGAGAAACCCAGTTATTATCGAATTATTTAATTGTAATTTATTTATCTATAAAAATTTTTGAAAATACTATAAACACTTTTTACTATTTTTATAGAGGTTTCTGCTGTTCTTATAGATACATCCAATTTTCGAGATATCAATATCGATGCATCGATCGATTTGTATATATCGATAAAGATATAGACAAATTTATACATATAAATACTAAGAACGAAAACAGAATTCGTTTAAAAAATGTCTGTCTCTCCGTCCGCCCGTCCGTCCGCGTACACGATAACTCGAGCAAAAATTGCGATATCTCAACGAATGGAATGTAGGTTGCCCTTTATCCAAGGTAGGTTGGTATTGAAAATGGGCGAAATCGGTCTCTAACCACGCCCACTTCCCATATAACAGCATTTTCGAAAAATGCAAGAACTACGATATTCCCGTAAATATTGGATCGAAATTGTTGAAAACTAGTTTGTGAGGTTGAATTTTGTTAAAAATAATTATGATTTTTTTTGAAATTTTGAAGTATTGAAGTATTTTTTGGAAAATTGGCGTGACCCCGCCCACTTAGTATTTCTGTATCTCAGTAGCCGCTAACCCTTACCAAACTCGGTAAAAGCCTTTCCCAAGGTCTAGATTAGAAATATGTTGAAAATCTTTGAGATTTATCAATTTCTACTAAACTCAGTGCACTTAATAACCTTGGTACGGATAAGCAATTCGTTGAAAATAATTCAAATCGGACTGAAATTACATCCGTTTCCCGTATAACGGTAAATTTCAGACATACGAAAACTCCGATATTTCAATAACTGCGGACGCTAATTTACTCCAAGTTAATAGTTGCACAAATCTCTAACTAATAAACTAGACTGCTTTAGACTTTTTGGAGTTGGGCGTGGCACTGCCCACATTATGATTACAAGGTGTATCTCAGATTTCTACCAAACTTGGTTCAATTATATCATTAAGTTTAACTCAGCATTTTATCGAAAACCCCTTCTTGAAACCCCTGCTTATCATGCAAAGGTTGTTTAGAGAAAAATGAAACGGCGATATTTGATACCTGCGCCGGATACTATGTATATAAAGTTCGGTTTCGCCCAAACTTATACTTCTTTTCTTGTTTAAGTTGCTTTTGTCGTTAAATTAATTTTTATAATCACCAATAAAAAACTTCTCTGTAGATATACATACATATGTATGTAGATGTCAATTTCTTCATCATTTCATGACCTTATGTTTTTCCTTTTACATACATACATATGTACTTGTCAAAATGCTCGTTTCAAGGCATTACTCTTTCATTCTTTGTACCGTAGTTAACGTACGTGTACAGTTCTACGCATATTCTACTGTTAAAACCAGATCAAAATTATTACCTATCAAAATAAAAACCATTTCACAAAAAAATCTAAATGTAGGATTAACTACAAACGAATGTGTAGCTAATCCCTATCGCTTTTTTCGCTGTGTAACGCGGAATAGTTTTTAATATACACAAAATATCTGCTTAATATCCTTTGACATGCAAGTAAAATACCGAAATTTTAGCTTGCCAGTTTTGCAAGTATTTTGCAATTCATACAGCCGCGGCTTTCTACTCGTGAAATATATGTATTTGTATTTTTGTGAACTCGTTAAAAAATCGTAGTCTTCAACATTTCTATTAAGCGCTGGCTGACTGGCCATTTGCAGCCTCACGACGCATTAACAGTTAATACCCTTGCGCTGTTCGCTTTTTGTCTTTTGCCAACTGTGCCTGAAAGCCAGCGATGCGCGACTGACTATAAATCGCACCAAATCCGCTGAAAAGCTTTGAAATTATGATTTCGTTGAAAGAGTGAAATATTCAAAAATTTCACTATATTTCCTATGTCTGCATGCACCAAGCGCTACCCCCCCTTTACTATAAGTATTTTGTAAGCTTTTATGTATGTACATATGTGCATACATATACATTTAGGTATGCACAATTTTATCAACCAAAACTTGTACGTAGCTACCGAAAATTCATAACCGCAATTCATAAACTGCTTTCTAATGGACTTTTTTCTCTATTCTCTTTGTGTTATCACTACCATTGCAGATATGTCGGCGAGTATTCCAACATTCCCACCGACTATGCGGAAGTGTCAAGTTTCGGCAAAGCGCCCAGTGAATATGGCTGCGGTGGCATACAACGGCATGAGGCAGGCTCGCCAGCACCCTACGCCACATCGGCCATATTGAATGGTGGCAGTGGTGTGATTGTTGGTGGTCAGCACCAGCAACAGCCACGTTATCAGCAACGACCAGGCGATTTTCGTATGCAGCAACAGCAACAGCAACAACAACAGCAGCAGCAGCAACAGCAATTTCAACAGCCGCATCAAAGACCTATGCATCCACACTATCACCAGCAACAACAGCAACATCAGCAACAGCTACAGCAGCACCACCAACAACAACAACAACACTCAATGGGCAATATTTACCAACCCATGTCGGTGGCCAGTGAAGTCTATCCGAGCAACATGAGCAATCGTTCCGCCTATTCGGAGCAATATTACTATGCCAAGGAGAAGATTCACATCACGGAGAATAAGTTGAGCGGCTGTCACACCTATGACACGGCAGGTGAACTGCAACAGCAGCAGCAGCAACAAAAACAACAACAACAGTTGCAATTGCAACCTTTGCATCAGCAATTTGCCGGCGTTGGCACTTTACGTCGCCAGCTCGGTGGCGGCGGCAGTGGCACTAACAGTGGGCGCTTTAAAGTTATCATGCAACAGCAGCAACAACAACAAACACAGCAGCATAGCCCCAGCATGAGCGCTGAGAAGTTGCAATTACAGAAATTGAATGCCTTGAACAACAACAATCACAACAATGGCAATGGCAACGACACGAGCACCACAGAGCTCTCGAAAAATTTACTTGACCTAGATGCCGGCTCATTCTGCTACAACGGACTCGCGGACTCCGGCTGTGGCGGCTCGCCCTCGCCCATGGCCATGCTGATGTCGCACGAGGACGACCAGGCGCTCTATCACACAGCTGATGGGGAGCTGGATGGCGACATGGAGCGGTTGTATGTGAAAGTCGATGAGGAGGCAAAGCAACAGCAGCAGCATCACCAGCAACAACAACAGCAACACTTACTGCCTTTACCGCCATCAAATCAAGTACATCCCAGCGTCGCCATAACACTCAGCCCCAACAGCGGCAACAATTGGCGCACACAATCACAACAGCAACAGCAGCAACAACAACAACAACCCTTCGTACGCGCCTCCTATCGCGCTGGCAGCGGCAGCACTAATCTCATGATGACCAGCAGCGGCAGCAGCGCAGCCAAGAGTAATAGCAGCAGCATTGGTGGCAGCAGTTCGCTTAGTTCGTGTTCGGAGAGCGCTGAAGAGCGTCACCAACAACAACATAAAATATTGCAAAATGGTGATTGTGAGCTGATTTATGCACCCAGCAGCGTGGCGAGTGAACGTAGCTTGCTAAGTAGTGGCAGCGGCAGCGGTTGTGGCAGTGGTGGCAGCATGTCGGCTCATCCGCAAGGGCCACATGTGTGACCGGTCGAACAATGTGTTATAGTCGGCAGTGGCGCAGGGTGTGGAGTGGCATCGAAAGGTGTCGGTGTGGGTTTGAAGAGTTACGGGCTGACGTGCGGCTTGAGTATTGATGAAGAAGCGGCATGCGATGAAGCGGCACAGGTGGATTATTATACGCGCGAGGTGCAAGAACTGCTGGCGTGGTGTGAGCGTGTAAACAAAGGGCAGCTGGAGTCGAGTGAGTGAGGGGCAATGGGGAGGGGGGTGGGGAGTGTAAAAAGCATGGAGGAGGTGGTGTGAATATAGAAAGATAAGTACTATCTAGTTACGTATGTGTATGTGTACATGAAAACTACATAAATACAAGCGCTATGGAAGTGAAGAAGGAGGCGCAGTGCCCAAGGTGTTCTGGTAGAGATTCTCATTTGTTGAAGCAAGGGTTAAAAAATGTTTAATTTTTAAATTCCATTAAAATGTTACTTTTCCCTTTTTTTTTAGATATTTCTGAGGATTAACCTTAACTTAACTTTTCTGGACCTAAATTTTACAGATTCTAAATAACGATAATCAAACGAAAGGTTATAGATATTTTGAAGTCAAGCTATTGTTTCGAAAAGTATAGTCCATATCGGCTCCTTAAAAACCATGGGAAAGCAAAAAAAAAACATAAAAAGATTAACGAAAACTCGTGTAAATAAATTGAAATAATTATTTTAATTTTGGCATTTTTTTCTAAGGTGTAAGCTAAAATGAAATAATCAATCACATTAAGGATATTTAAAAAGGCATAGGAAATCAAAGTATGTCCCTATGCAGTCAAAAACCTACCTTATACCTGTGGTCGCTAAAGGGTTAAAAAAATACCAAAATTTTTTAGCTTTGAAAGAAAATTGAAATGCGATGGTTATGCTTATTTTATTAGGTCATCTAGTGTCTTTCTTAAACGCGCTATGATTTCATCACGACCGCTTATGCTTGAGAGTAAAAGAACATGTTGCCAACGGTAAATTTATATTTTATATTTTATTTTTTCTATATATTTTGCATCATTTTTATTGTCTCGAAATAGATAGTATTAACAAAAAAATAACCTATGAAAGTATTTCCATGGCAAATTTGAGCCTTGCAACAATGTATTACAACATCGACTTTGCAGCATGTTTCCGCAATAAGTTCCGAGGCTCGAATTCTGGGGCAGCGGATTTTTTTTTTGTTTTTACTTTATATTTTTCATATTTTAATTTCCTTCATTGTTTTTATTTAATTTTCTTTTAAATTTTAAATTTTCATGTAAAAAGTGTTTTTTTTTGTTTTTAATTTGTATCTATATAAATAATTTATATTATGTAAACTGAACTGTTCCACCATGTTGAAGGGTTTCTTTTATTCCTACATTTAGAAAACTTTTTGCTAAAAGGAAAACAGAATAACGCTAAGACCTTCTTGCTGGCGCAACTAGCACAACTTTCCATTGGTCTTTCGAAAGACAGTGGGTGAGTTGCCAGAATCGCTCTGTTAGTTAGGTCAGAACCAACTTTTTCGAAAATTTGAGCTAGGGAGCCTATTGAGGTCGATTAGGAGACCAACAAATATTTACCAGTGTATCAGCTGAATCAAACAATCTGGCTTCCTTGCAGGAAAATCTGCTTAATAGTTCAGCAGTTGATTGGTGAATTGGTGAAACCAAGTTATTCTGAAAGTCTTGATTGTTTATAGAAAATTAATTTCTCAGTTTTTCCAGGTTGACGATTTTTAACGTTTTTTGTTTCAATTGAAGTTGGTGGCTGTAGAGTAGCTTTTATAACAATTAAAATTAATTTAAATGCAAATATTTATAACATAAAAGGGATTTTTTGGTGTTCTTTATGTACGAGGAATCTGAATCTGCAATTCATATTTACCAAAAACGGCCAACAGTCGCAATCCCCGAGTTAGCAAAGCACAGGCGAACGGTTGGAGAGATCAGAGTTCGAGTCCTCGGGCAGCGAATTTTTTTTTAATTTGACTTTTTTTCCTTTTCAATTTAATTTTCTTTTAATTTTTAGATTTTATTGTTAAAATATATATATATGTACTTTTTAATTTCATTTTATTTTTTATCTTTTTTTTTATTTAATTTTTTCTTTCTTAATTTAATTACCTGCTAATTTTTGTATGTTGCTGCTTTAAAAATATGTTTTTATTTCTTTTATTTAATTTTTAGGAACTTATTAAATTTTTTCTTTAAATTTTTTTTTTTTTTCTCTTATAGTTTCATTTTGCTTTAATTTATAGATGTTCTTTGTTTAAAAAGAATATCATTATAATTTCATTTAATTTTTAGAAACTGATTTCTTTTTCTTTTTTTCCCCTTCTAATTTAATAGGTTTTTTCTTTTTTTATTTACCGTTTTTTAATTTTTAGATTTTTTTTAAATAAATATCTTTTTTTAATTCTTTTTTATTTTATTTTTTTCATTTTCTAATTTAATTTTTAGATTGTATAGTTTTAAAAATAAAAAAGTAGTTTAATTTCACATAATTTATAAAAACGTTTTTTATTAATTTTTGCTTCATTTCAATTTTTTTCTTATATTTTTTAATTTTCTTTTCTTTTATTTATAAGTTTTTACTATTTTCAACAGAAGCAGAGTAGATATAATTTTTTTAATCTAATTTACTCTTTTAAAAAACTTATTGCTAAAAGGCGAACAGCATAACGCTAAGATCTCCTCGTTAGCAGATCTCCCAATTAGTATTTCTAAAGATAGTAAAGAACTTTCAAGACAGTTTCCAGAATTCCCCTGTAAAGGACTCAGAATAATGACTTAACTTAATTTCCCATTCATACCTGCAGAACATCGAAAAGGACACCCTTAGGCACTCGCTTTTGCTTTTAAATCAATAATCTTCCTTTTTCAAATCAAGTAAAATGCATTTAAAGACTGAATCAATACTACATACATACATATAACCACACTCATATAAGTAAATATGTAACTAAACTGCTGCTGGGTAAATGCTTACTGCAAAGGTGAAACTAAATACAAAACAAAGTAAAATATGTGTATGCAGAAGTTCATAGGTAAGCAAACTATTTTCTAGTGAATGTTATTTAGTAGTCCCAATGAAAATAAAATGAGAGCAGAAGTAAACATATGCGTGCAAAATATTTACTTAGCAATATCTATATAAGAGTATATTTTGAAGGAAGAAAGGCCATCACACCACTTATGTATGCATAAGCACATAACAAAAAAAAACATACATATGTACATATCGCACGTTTAATAATAAAGGGAATTATTTAAAATTTGCACTTTTATGGGAAAACGCAAAAGAAAAAACCGCAAAAGCAGTCTCAAAAAAATAAATTCGCAAAAATCAACGCGATTTCTTAGCCGGTTGATACTTGCATTTCATTCAACTAAATTGTATGGGCTATAAAACTGCATACCCAAAAGTGTTCTAAAGATTCAGTTTAACAAGTTCAAATTTTTATGAAAATTTGTTCAATTTGGTTAAAGCTTGGACGGTGCTTTTATAGAAAAATAAAAAAATAACAAAATTTAGCTCGAGAACATTACGAATAATTAAAAAAAAATTAACACGTGGTCATTTGTTTGAGTCACTGTATCTTCGCCATTTTTGGGAAGTTTCGTAATCTGCTAGACTGAAAATAGTCTCCTCAACAAGCTTATAAATTGTAGGCTTAAATCTCTAAGCACGTTAATTTTTAATTAATTCTCTATAGTATTAAACGTGCGATAATAAAATACATACATCAAAATATAAAAAAATACATAAAACACAAAATAATACAGTTTTTATGATTTGTTTGAAGTGAATCTCTGTGTCGTGAAATATATATTGTAAGATCGGCTGTTATTGATGTGAAATAATCATAGATATGAATGTGTACAAAAAAGGGAAAAAGAAATGAAAAATATAAAAATAAATACTAAAAAATAAGGAATAAAATATGATAAAATTATAAATTAGCATTAGTACCATAAATAAATTTATATCTAAGTAATCGTACTAATTGTAAGTGTAATGTCAGTAATTGCTAACAAACTAGTGTAGGCCTACCAACTCATTGCTTGCGTTTGCTAGGGGAGGCAACAAAATGTGCAGATAAGTGTAGAATAAAACCAGAAACGCCAGCTAAAGATACATGGGCTTAAGGTTCCATTTGTTATTATTAATTTTTATTTACACGTGGACGTTTATTGATTTATTGACAATTTTAGAAAAAATGCTTAATTATAAGCTTTTATTTTTTTTCTTTTACTTTTGTTAATTAAATATAAATCTGGTTATTCCCGGAAAGAAAGGTATCGAAAATGTTTTTTTTTGCTAGATATCTAAATTTTTCATATTTCTCTCTTATAAGTAAATATGTAGATAATCAGGCCTATCACAGAATTCAACGTAGTCGGATTTTCTTTGAAATCTAATAAAATTAATTCGAAACTTATAAGCCTTTTGGAACACAATTCAGGGCTATTTATAAAATCTGATTGGTTGATGGATTACTGTACTTTCTGGTTGTCGTTCTTTTTTTTTATTATTTGCAATATTTTCTCGATATTGGTGTTTTCAAGGCATGCATATGTATATTTACTAAAAGACTTTAAAAAATACTAAATAAATTCAGAAGATTTTTCTATTCAACCTATGTATGTATATAGCAACTTAAGCGTAATTGTAGGTTAATTTTTATTGTTTTTTTTTTGTTTTTGTTTTTGAGATTTAGTGCAGCAAAACTTATTACTAAAAAGCTTCTGTATATAGAAAATCCTATTAACTTAATTAAAGTAAAATACTATCAGTAATATGAGCACTTAAAATACTGAAAATGTATGTAGGCGTGTGTGGAAGGGATCGGGAATTCAATATAAAAAGTAAAGTAAAAAAACCATTTACAAAATATTTTGTACCCACTGCAATGACGTTTTTCAGGGCACATTGCTTGGTTTTAAGAAATTATTTAAAGAGTCGCACTCTTAGAGACGTCGATATACATATGTATCTGCAAAAAGGCATCCAATAAAATCAACCCGCCAGATGCACAAAATTTTGATATTATCCGAAAATTTAAATATTTTTACCGCTACTTAGCGAAGAAATGCGGTCCAACCTATATATATGTACATTTGTATATGTATTAGGATCAGTGAATAATATATTTATCGGTATTTTTTATCTATATATTAATCTACATTGTTATCGAAATAATAATCGGCACTATTATCGAAATAATAATCGATATTTTTATTGATATATTTATCGATATATTTAGTCTCGAAAACGCCGAAACAGTCCCGAGAACCTCCAATATTCCAGAAACGTAGGCTCGAAATAGTAACGCAAATCCCGAAATAGTCCCTAAATAAATTTGAAATAGTTCCGAAAATCCCGAAGTAGTTGAGAAAACTCTGAAGACGTCTCGAAGATGTCGAAATAGTCCCTTAGGTCCGTCAAATCCTAAAGTAGTCTCGAAAATCGCGAAATAGTACATAAGTTACCGAAAAGCCTGAAATAGTCCCAAAAATGCCCAAGTAGTCCGTGAAATACAGAAATATTCACTAAAACGTCGATATAGTCTCGAAAATCCTAGACATCTCATCGGTATTTAATAACATCCGAAATACTTTTGTACTTAACTACCATTTTACCCATCATTGATTAGGATGCAACACAAAAAAAAGGTGCGGGTTTTCAACCGAATTATAGGATTTATTATATTTTAAAACTCCCACCAAACCATTTCGCAAAAATTGTAAGATTTCCGTGAGCTGGACCGATTTGAAAATATTTTCTTATTTTAAATTTACTTCCGAGTTAATTTCAAATAAAGGCTTGAAAGGGCTGAAATTCACTCGGAATTGAATTGCAGAACCTGCCTGATTATTTTGTTCTCATTGATACAATTTTTCAACATTTTTATACATAAACTTTTCTAGCATTTGCGTTGATTTTTTAGAAAAAAATATTTTTAAAACTTTTTTC